ACAAAGGCAGTTCTGCTAATGTTTCACAAACACTGTGGAGGTGGGTCCATTGATCCCCCTGTGGGTCCAGCTGTGGATGTTATAAAACTGGCCTAGAAATATTACAAACACTTTCAGGGTGTTTCTGCTACTATTGGCTCTTTTGGCCATCCAATATTTAGAAAACGAATCTCAGAAAAAATGAATTTTAAGTATCAGAGTCTATATAAATAATGAGATAAACAAGACTTGAGGCCTTTCCCACAAAACCACACACCACTGCAGTAAAGTGGGGCTGGAGGTCAATGGCAAAATGAATAGATTCTTCAATTCCAGCCATTTGGGAATTGGGAATTAGGTCCAAAGCATAAAATGTAGCATCAGTGATGAAAAACTGACACTAGTAGCACCACCAGTGCCAAAACATCTGCCCACCTGAAGGAGCTGACAGTGGAAAATCAGGTACAACTTGACCAGCCAATTAGTCAGGTTAGTTTACCTAGTGTTAGCACTCAAGTCATTGTTGAGGTCAAATGTAATGAATATTGTATTATTTATTTTCCTATTAAGTCCTTCTCTGTTTTATTTGTGTGGAATCAAGATTTTTCTGTAAACTCCATCGATTTACGTCACTTGGAATCGGAGTCGACTCCAAGATGTCTGGAATCGAACAGCCTTAAAGACACTTTGACTGTTTTTCAGTATTATCGCCTTTTACAGGAGCACCAGCAGCTTATTTATACACTGATATATCTGAAATTTACATGAATATGAAGCTGTTTTAAGAAGTCTAATTCAAAACAGGCTTTAGTTATAAGCTGTAAGATAAGGACATGCAGAAAATGCTGAATATGTCCACTTTTATATTTAAGAGCTCTCTGGTTAACTTCCACTTCCACTGAAAGTAGCTTTGTTTGGTTTTGTAAAAACTTTATTTGAGATAATTTGGTCTCATGGTACAGTCCTAAGCAGACGTTTGAACAACACCAGTCAAATTATATGTTTTGTTGATTTTCTCAGTGCACTTCCTCTGTTTATCTGCTGACTTTAACATATTGGAAAAAAATAAAACATTAAATGTAAAACGTGCCGTAAGTTTTTTACAGGCCACATTTAATGTTTAATTTTTTTTCCAATATGTCCAATAATAAACAGAAACTGTGCACTGAAATGTGCAGAAGTGTGTTCTCTGTAGAGGATGTGTTCTTAATTTTACTTCCAAATTCTACAAAACATAATTTGGGTGTTGAAAATTTTGCATTTGGCTGTATAAATGTTTTTATACTATATATATATATATATATATATATAATAACAATAACAATGTTGTTGAATAAATATATATATTTAACAACATTGTTATTATTGATTTGATTAAGGTACACTGAACATAATAAAACTATTACTAAAACTACAAAGTGAAAGTTCATGAATGAACCAAGTTGTCTTGACAGCTGATATGGAATTCCAAGTGGTTGCTAAGGTGTTGCTATGCCGTTGCTATGGTATCCTACGTAGTTGCTAACGTGTTGCTAGGCCATTGCCATGGTATCCCAGGCGACTGCTAAGGTGTTACTAGGCCATTGCTATGGTGTTCCAGGTGGTTGCTAAGGTGTTACTAGGCTGTTCCTAGTTATCCTCGGTTGGTAGGCTTTTGCTATGGTGTCTGATGAGGTTGCTCAGATGTGTCGATATATGTGTGCTGTATGTATGTGAATCTGTATGTATTGTCTCTATGAGTGGCAGTGTGAGAGACATCCTTTGTGACCCATGAAAGTCGTACCAAAAATGTTGAATAAAAATAAGAAGAATAAGAAGAAAATGGAAAAAACGAGACAAATTAAATATGGAATTTTGTAATTTATTAACTTCTTTTCATGTAGTTCAAGGTGTGGGGCATGAATTAACTGGTGTTTTGATCAACAACATGCTTATTAAATTCGATTAGCTCAATACAATTAACAAAGTCTTTGCGTAAAAATGTGTTATGACACTAATAAACTGTTTTCTGTGCTTCATGATATAAATGTGAACCCAATATGTAAAATTCCACTGTCGGGACCTAAAAGTTGACCTGTGGTTGCAGAAACACCCTCCAATAAAAGGGGAATAGCGTAACACCTGAACTTCTACTAGCCTTTTCTAAACAAGAGACTCAGTCATAGTCTAATCAGCACAGACATCATCAAATTTGACTGCCTGGAGTTCCAGGATGTGGTTAAAACTGGACATAGTGTTCTAACTCAGTCTGCACCTCTAGGCAGCGTTCACTTCTATTTCTGATCTTACTGCATCATTATAAGAACATTCCTTGAAAAAAAAAGTTGGAGGCAGTAAAAATGATCCTATTGATGGTACCTGAATAAACAGTGAGGATGCTCAAGGTTTTTAAGACCTATGCTGACCCCTAGTGGATGCCCATGCTACTGCACCCACCCTCACAGGCGAATGGCACAGTTTTTTCACTAAAACTTCATGGAAACCCTTCAAAACGCCTGTTGTAATAATACGCTGACCTAGAAAACCGTCCCCCACATGCAGTCTGGAGTCAGTATTGTTCAGCTGCAGACGAGTGGGACCCAGTAAATAGCATTGCGCTGACTGGCGCTGTATCGAGTGACAGCCTCTGTTGCCTGGAAGTCTGATATCAATGAGGCAATACTGTTGTGGCGGTTACATCACCAGGCTCTTTGCTTTGGACGCTGAGTGTGGACAGTTAGCTTGGATTAATGATGCCCGTCACTGTGAACAATGCAATGTGGTGGAGTAATAATTTGGACAAAGATCGTTCACCAGCCCACAACTGACACCGACAAATTCTCGATATAAATTTATTATTTTACACATTCTATTGCATGAAAATATAGACACAATGTAATTTAGAGACCCCCCGCGCTCAAAAACATGGTTTCTAAATGTGATTTAACCCCTCAAATGTCCAGGGCCCACCAGCAGGCCCAAAGTTTTATTATACACTTCTATATCTTAAGAATAGCTCAGCCAGTTTGCATTGAAGTCCCTGAAGTTACTGAATAATAAGCCTTAGTATTTGATAAGCCTGGGATTTTAAAGGGTTAATCCTCTTGGATGACTTGTTGTGATCATATTCATTGGGTTTGTGAGAAATCTACCACCAAAGTTCCACGTTTTTCCACTGACAAATGGTAAACTATGCTAATGATAGGAAACGTAGCTTCAAAACATACGTACACAAACGTGGCCAACTTATTTGAGGTGTCTGGACTGTTCAGTTAGCTGTTAGCTAAAACTGATAAAAGATGGTGGTACTTAAAATTGCAACTGTTGTAATTAAATATGATGGTTAGAGCTGCCCCAGCCTTACATAATGAAAATATACTTACATATAGTTTTCAAAATATGTCACGTTTGTAATACACAGATCAGGCATAACATTCTGACCACCTCCTTGTTTCTACACTCATTGTCCATTTTATCAGCTCCACTTACTATATAGGAGCACTTTGTAGTTCTACAGTTACAGACTGTAGTCCATCTGTTTCTCTGATACTTTGTTAGCCCCCTTTTACCCTGTTCTTCAGTGGTCAGGACCCCCATGGACCCTCACAGAGCAGGTACTATTTGGGTGGTGGATCTTTCTCAGCACTGCAGTAACACTGACATGGTGGTGGTGTGTTAGTGTGTGTTGTGCTGGTCTGAGTGGATCAGACACAGCAGTGCTGCTGGAGTTTTTAAACACCTCAGTGTCACTGCTGGACTGAGAAAAGTCCACCAACCAAAAATATCCAGGCAACAGCGTCCTGTGGGCAGCGTCCTGTGACCACTGATGAAGGACTAGAGGATGACCAACACAAACTGTGCAGCAGCAGATGAGCTATCACTCAGGCCATTTGAACGTTTTTACTTCTTACTTTGCCACAAACAGAAAATGGACACTTTTGAGATCACATTTGACTGACAGCCGATTTGGTCAAACTCTGAAGATGAGACGACACTAAATTCCCAAACTGTCATCACCACTGAGCAGCTTTTCAGTCGGCAGCTGAGACAGAAGAACAGGTGAACAACCTGGAATCAGCCAGAAATGAACCCAACACCATTCGCCAAACTAAATGGGCTGTAAGATGCTTTACAGACTGGCTGGAACAAAACAACATTAATACTGATCTGGCAAAAACTGACAAAACTGAGCTGAACTTGGTATTGCGGCAGTTTTATGGCTCAGTCTGATTTGGTCAGACTCTGAAGATCAGACTACACGTTTGGCGAATGGTGTTGGGTTCATTTCTGGCTAATTCCAGGTTGTTTAGCTGTTCTTCTGTCACAGCTGGCGACTGAAAAGCTGCTCAGTGGTGATGACAGTTTGGGAATTTAGTGCAAGGAGCTGGAGAACGAACTGCCGGCTGTGCAGCGAGTGGGCGGAGCTCGTTACTCTGACGTAGCAACAAGTTGCTCGTTAAGGAACTATAATTTGGTGAAGGAACTGCGAACATTAAAACATATTAAACGCCGCGTTCACGGCCCAGTTTATTAATTTATTACTTTATTTATTTAACTGTTGTATAAAAGCAATAGAACACTCGAGGAGTGTGTTATCGCCAATAACATCACGGCTGTGATGATCTACGGCGACCAAATCACAGCCGTGATGTTATTTCGCGAAAATACACTCCCTCTGTGTTCTGTTGCTTAAATAACATTCTGAGAGCAGATTAAATGCACTACCCATACTAGCTGCATCGTCTACAGTGAGAAAGTGCTATAAAAAAAGAATGAAGCTGTAAAACAATAACCTCTGCTAATAAAATGCAAGCCTCAGGCACAAAAGCTCCGAATGGCTTAACTACAAGTACAAATGGAGCGTATTGATCAGCGTTTTCACTTTTAGGGATGTTTAGTGAGACTAAAGAAAAGTGTGGAGTTGAGATCAAAGCACTATCAGATGTGCTAATGGATTTTATCCACATTACAGCCACGTTTGTACCGCACTAAATTAGCTCTTGGTCTCGGAAGTGTAGGGTAAATACAAGACTTGCACTCACCCAGACAGCATCTCAAAGATGAGCACGCCCAAGGCCCACCAGTCCACTGCCAGACCATGACCTTTGCCCTGGATGACCTCGGGGGCCAGGTACTCTGGAGTTCCGCACAACGTACATGTCCTGCACAAAAACACACTCAAAATCACTTTAAAAGGAAAAACAAGATAAAAATGTAATAACAAACGATTTGAAAGCCTATCTGAGAAGTATCTGGGTGTGGCCTAATATTCTAATGAGCATGCTTGACTGACATGCTTCATTCTAACACTTCCATCCTGCTACAGCACTGAAGCAGAACTAAACACAATAGCACACTGAGTGTGTTTACATACACTTAATAATCCGATAACTGCAGAAAATCAGATTTTCAAGCATGTGATCGGTTTCAGCGTCGCTCCAAAAACGTTTTGCTGCATCTCGTGTCCATCTGTTTCTCTGATACTTTGTTAGCCCCCTTTTACCCTGTTCTTCAGTGGTCAGGACCCCCATGGACCCTCACAGAGCAGGTACTATTTGGGTGGTGGGTCATTCTCAGCACTGCAGTAACACTGACGTGGTGGTGGTGTGTTAGTGTGTGTTGTGCTGGTCTGAGTGGATCAGACACAGCAGTGCTGCTGGAGTTTTTAAACACTGTGTCCACTCACTGTCCACTCTATTAGACACTCCCACCTTGTCAGTCCACCTTGTAGATGTAAAGTCAGAGACGATAGCTCATCTGCTGCTGCACAGTTTGTGTTGGTCATCCTCTAGTCCTTCATCAGTGGTCACAGGACGCTGCCCACAGGACGCTGTTGCCTGGATATTTTTGGTTGGTGGACTTTTCTCAGTCCAGCAGTGACACTGAGGTGTTTAAAAACTCCAGCAGCACTGCTGTGTCTGATCCACTCAGACCAGCACAACACACACTAACACACCACCACCACGTCAGTGTTACTGCAGTGCTGAGAATGACCCACCACCCAAATAGTACCTGCTCTGTGAGGGTCCATGGGGGTCCTGACCACTGAAGAACAGGGTAACAAAGTATCAGAGAAACAGATGGACTACAGTCTGTAACTGTAGAACTACAAAGTGCACCTATATAGTAAGTGGAGCTGATAAAATGGACAATGAGCGTAGAAACAAGGAGGTGGTCAGAATGTTATGCCTGATCTGTATGTGATCTGTGTTGTTTCTTTGAAGCATTAGCTTCTTCTGCTGTGACACACAGAGAATCCAAATATCACAACAAGTGCCTCTCTCTCGCTCTGAAGTGCCACAGCGGCTCTGGCCACATTATAAAAACAGCTCGTTCTCCAGTGGGAGAGCAACTTGAGGCTGGAGTGGGTCCACTGCTTCTGAACGATCGCCTCACAGACAGTCCTCTCACAAGCCTCGGGAGAGATCATTAAATGCAGGCACACGCTGTGCACAGCCAAAAGCCCATTGACAATAGCGCAGCACTTTGCTGTTAGCCACTAGCCGGCTCTGCACTATCCCATCCAGACAAAAACATACACGGATATGTATTTTTATAAATGGGAAATACTTTGCAGATACATTGTGTCATTAAAAAAGGCACACCAAACACTAAAATACATAAAAATATACACAGCTATTCTTATCTCCATTTCCCAGTATCACAGTGATGAAATACCAACCAGAGATGGGGTCAATTTCCCCCCAGTCACAGATACATATAGCTGGGTTTCGAATCTGATTAAGCCTTTTATATTAGCTATTACATTCCTGATGTTACACTACGTCAAATCAAATGTCATTAGGAGTTATTTTGCCATAACAATGACTAAACTTGTACTGGTTACTGGGGTTAAACCAATTAATAGAAATATTACAAAATATGTAACACAATTCAACAAGTAATACACACTTTCTCGACCTGCTAACACTATTGAGATGCTATACTGAAGCTTCCCTAAAGCTCTAATCTGTATTCAGTCCGACCACCCATGCACCACTGGTGCATCCTTCAGAGTGGAACTACGCATCATGACCACCAGGGTGCATCATTTCACCACTTTGCAGTGCTCAAATCTGCTGTTTCCTCCCTAAAAATCCTAACTGCACTATTCCGTGCTGCTCAGAGGAGGATGGTTCTCCTTTGAGTCTTGGTTCCTCTCAGTGGCACTAAAGGAGGTTTTTTTCTGATACTGCCTCATCAGGAGGCCGCAGCCACATTTCTGGATTAAAGCTGTTTTGGGATAATGGTTGTTGTATAAACCATCATGCAAATAAAACAGAATTGAACTGAACTGAGCTAAATATTTTCCATGTTCTTCTAAAGCTGTTTTACAATTTGGTGTGGAACCTGGAAGGGCTCACCAAACGACTGGGCCTATTTTGATTGATTTGTACTAGATTAGGGGCGGCACAGTGGTGCAGCGGGTAGCGCTGTCGCCTCACAGCAAGAATGGCCTGGGTTCGATTCCCGGCCAGGTGACCAGGGTCATTTCTATGTGGAGTCTGTGTGGGTTTCCTCCAGGTACTCCGGTTTCCTCCCACAGTCCAAAAACATGCAGTCAGGCCAATTGGACATGCTGAATTGCCCCTAGGTGTGAATGTGTATGTCTGTCTGCCCTGCGATGGACTGGCGACCTGTCCAGGGTGTATCCTGCCTTCCGCCCAATGACAGCTGGGATAGGCTCCAGCACCCGACCGCGACGGATAAGCGGTTTAGATGATTGATGGATGTACTAGATTGAACTTGAATGTTTTGCTTTTTCACCTATTTTGCATCAATTAAGGTCATGTAACAACGTTCTTATTAGTGTTATAAATTGTAAATCACACTACGGAACTGTGAGAATTAGATGCAAACCTTCAGTTCGGGCCATAAATTTCAAAAACTCAGTCAAAAATGGGGAAATAAGACTTATAAAATGGATAGTTCCGGTCCTAAAATCTGATTGGCTGAGCTGCGTTAGAAGCCATTGTAAAATACACAATATACACTACACTAACCGCCTCACTACATCTGAACTCTGTATCACTGCGCCACGAAAAATCCTTCTGCTGTTAATGAATAATCTTTGACTCTTATGCTACTCGCATGGAGCTCAGAGTGTATTGATGAAGTAAGAACCTGGTTCTGTTTCAACTGAGGGGCTGACAACTTATGTTCTTAACTAGAACTAGGCTGGTCATCTAGCTGACAGGATGAAAGATAGCCTAAATAACTCCATCATTAATATAACAGGCTTGAATTAAAGTGCTTATGATACGATTCACTGTAAAACTGCAATACAAAAGTCTAAAAATGTCTAAAAATGTATTTTGCTCTGTTGGGCTGCAGGATCCAGTATTTAAACTCCAGTGTAGTGCACTTTGTAGGGAGCAGGCAGTTATTTGAGATTCAGCCCCAGCGTGTGAAGAGAGGTGCAGTTGGATTGGTGCTAAATAAAACTCACGGTGATAATTTGGTGACTGAAAGTACTTATAAAGTGAAGGTTTTTGCATTAAACAGTGCTGCATTATGACATGTTTATTATTATTATTATACAATAAAAGTTAATGAAACGATCACAGTGTACAGTGATGGGCAAGTGAACATTCTTTTCCTTATTTAGTGGTTCATAGTTCCTTGGCAACAATACCGTACTCTAAAGGAACTACATTTCTTGGAGGAATACTTGTTTATGTTAATTATTACTAATAATTGCTTAAATTATTTTCTGACAAATGGTGTGTTTTATCATATTTTACATTGGCCGCTGTTTTACAAAATTAATAAGCCACTTGAGGATGTGTGTTACTCTGATTTTATCCCAGGGAAGGGACTAAGAACCCCCTTCTCCATGATAAAATCACAGTAACGTACGGCCTCAAGTGGCTTATTGCTTTGCTCTACAGTGATGTTAATTTAGCGCCCCTATGGGATTTTAGTAGTATGTTAGCACAAAGCTAGCAATGATTCATATGAACGTTATCATGGCTGTTCTAGATTAAACACAGACATTTGAAGCTTGTAAAAGACATTAATGAGTTTGTATGTATCAGTTTTACAGTGAGTCTTTCAGTAAAGAGTCCTGACATAGAGCTGCCGCCACTGTTTTACATTCCTAACAACTGACTGAGACCTGATTAGACCCGTATTCACAGTCAGTGACGTATCTAGAACTTCCACAATGACATTTCTGTCATGAAATTGGTGACATCGTAAATCAAAGCCTGATTGGTTATGCTGGTAGTTAATCTAACAAGTAAGACCTTCAGTCCAGCTGCTGAAGTCCTAATCAATGGTAGAGCTCATTTGGCTGTATCTACCTAGATACCATAGAGAAAACAATCCTGATTAGATCATTTTCCATTGGGTGTTTCAAGAATTTAACCCTTTTGTTTCCAACCAAAACTTATCAATATTTGCAGAGCTTAAATCCAACAAGCACAATGATTCTGTCAAGTAAAAATGAACTAAAAATGACATACATGTTTCTTTTTCATTCACAGAATTCATCTAGGCCAGTGGTCTCCAGCCCTGGTCCTGGAGAGACGCCTTCCTGCAGAGTTTAGTTCCAACCTGTATCCAATAAGCTGCTCTGTCTGAACCCTAATGTATCTGATCCAGCCAATCAGGGAAGAGGTTCAGTAGCTGGAGCAGGAGTGGCAAACTGTGGTTGGAACTATGCTCTGCAGGAAGGTAGCTCTCCAGGACCAGGGCTGGAGACTAGTGATCAAGGCCTTCAAAGAACCCTGAGGGTTTCCTACTGCTAAACATGTCTTGGCTGACCGACTACATTTGGAGTGAGGAGGGTACGTTTTAGTTTGGTTGATCTCTTCCTCAAAATATTGCAAAACATCTTTCTTCCGATGGAAAACGGGAAGATCCGCTCCTACCTGTCGACGACCTTCTTGGCGAAGCCGAAGTCGGTGAGTTTGATGTGTCCTTCACGGTCCAGCAGGATGTTCTCAGGCTTCAGGTCCCTGTAGACGATGTCCTTAGCGTGGAGGTACTCCAGGGCGCAGATGATTTCGGCTGAGAAGAACAGGGCCGTGTCGTTTCCGAACTTGCCACGGCTCCGCAGGTAAGTGAACAGCTCTCCGCCCGGCACGAACTCCATCAGCATGAACAGGCAGCGCTCGTCGTGCCACGTCCAGAACCTGCAGGTCAGCATGAACACATACAGTGAGCAGGAACTACACTGACTGAAAGAAACGAGGTACCCACTGCTTTAGTTCAACGTGGATGAAGTACCTGTTTAACACCTACAGATGGCAGTAGTGACAAAGTGCAGGTAAAACTCATAAGGCTACTTACGCAGCTTCTATACTCAGCTTACTTACAGTTCTGTATCTAAGTTACTGGCTCAGTTCACATTTCAGTAAATATGTGTTTTTATCAAAAATATAGGCACCATTATTGCAGAATTAGTTTTAAATGTTAATCATCGTGATGTATTATTAAATTGTGATGCACCATAACAAACTGCAACACATGCATCATAAATTCACGAATGGAATTTCCCTTTAAACCACAGCCTTAAGCCTATAAATGGCCTCCAGGGCATATATTTATATTAGTGTCAGTAAGTTGGTCATGTATTGCACTGTCATCAAGTGACTTGTGTCCTCTAATTCAACACAAAGGCCACTTTTCAATGTAAACTATGGAAATTGTGCGGACAAAAAATTAAAAATAAGAAAGGGAAATGATTATTTTTACAGCCCAAAAAAAATCAAGCAAACCATCAAAAGTTATTTTAACACTAACAGCACCCCCTTGTGGAGAACCTTGAGCCTGCTAAATATGGGTGAGTGAGTTACAAGCCAGGTCCATGAGACATTTTGCATTTAATAAAAAAGTCATACAGCAGTGGGCTTATTTATTTATTTATTAATTTAAAATGGACTTTTAGTACAACCTATTTATTATTATTTATTATTTCGTGTCAGAAAAAGAGCAGAAAACATACCTAACAAAATAAATACATAAATAATAAATTCAACCAAATGTAACATCACATTTTTCAGTGTTTACTGCGTCTACTCTTCGCTTTCATTGAAGCTTCCATTCTTTTTTAGGAGACTTGCTTTCAGTTTTTCAAAGAAATCTGCAGGGATATTTTTCCACACCTCCAAAGTTCAGTCTTAGAAGTTGGTTTAGCATTTTCTGAAGTAGTCAAACACATTCAGTGATCTCTGTCTTTTAAGTATTTCTTGAACTTTTTTCACTTATTTTTTTTAAGTTCTCCCTACTTATCCAAGTGGATTGCTTTCTAATCTAATCTCCTAAGAAATATTTCCTGAAAATGAATAACCTTTACTTAATGGTCATTTTCACTGGGTGGGTGGTCACTGACTTTTGCACAGGACTGTGCACACACACAATCAGTGTGCTAAGTGTGGATGTGTGTAGGCCGTCCAGAAGATCCTGCCAATGTAGTGCAGACTGGCTCTACTGGGATTACACAGGGAAACCCCACACACATTAATGCAGAGTAATGGTTTGGAAGCTCCCCGTAACGTTAGACGCATGTTTATCTCAAACGATTAGAAAGCTATTCATGTTTAAAGATGGTGTCGTGAACATGTCGGTCAGTTCTAGGTCAAAGGATCCAGTGTTTAAACCTGCAATGAAACGGAATTCCATTCGGAGACGTTAAGAGTACCTAAAGCCAGGCAGACACTGCAATTTTACAAATCTTGTTCTTTGGTGACTCATACTGACTCAGGTCCAACTGACCTGACGCGAGACGGGTGCTCACACTGCACGTGAAACGCAGCCCCTACGGACGCTCTGTCTACAATAAAGCTGATCAATTCAGAACAACACGCTGCGCCTCCGATGTCCTGATCACAACACTGGCTGAATCTCAAATGGCTCCCTGCTCCCTACATAGTGCACCACATACAGGGAGATTCACTCGAAAGAGGCCCCGAATATTCTGTAATAACTCTCTCTAGGATGAAGCGATCTGAACGAAATAACGTGCAGCGATGAAGTAGGTGCCGGACAGCCGTTGCGGCGTTTAACCTCCGCTTGCAGTTTCCGGGTGCAGACCCCCATACCCCTTCATGTGTCTGGCAGAAAACAGATTCACCTCCAGCATCGCATGTAATGCAATAGATTACACATGTCAAGGTGTGTGGCGTGTTTTTTTGGTTCAGATACTTCATCCTAACGGGAGTTACAGCAGAATATTCCGGGCCTCTTTTGAGTGAATCTCCCTGTACTAAAATAGTGGCTCCTGCGCCCATGAAGTGCATCACATGTCTAATAAGTGGCCTTCTGAGATTCAGCCGTGTGTGCACCGTTCCATACTGGACTAACAGGGCACTATTTTGGTGTAGAAGCCACAACTTAGTGCACTACATAGGAAGTAGGGGGCTGTTTGAGATTCAGCCATTGACAAACTGCTACAGCAGCTTTGCTAACTTGTGCCACACTGTGCACTGAAGCTGAAGAGCAGGCGGTCCACAGGCAGAGCGCTCTACAACAAAACATCACTGTATTTGTTTATACCTCACAATTCAACTCAGTCACACGGAGCAAAGTCGTCATATACGGGCGCTGGTGTCGCAAATCTGGACTTTTTTCCTCCGTGTCGGAGCGGTGGTGGTGACTGTGTGAGGTTTTGGGTGCGACTTTGAGGAATCGGTTCGTGAGGCAGCTCACACTGTGAGACAAGCGACCAAAATTTCGGACATGTCAGAAAACCATCCGATTGTCCGACTGCTCAATCGGAGCTCGTTTGGGCAGTTAATCGGGCATCGTTTCTTCTCTCACACTGCATGGCAAACGACTGCCGATGAAGCTGAAATTCAGCCTGAAAAATTCGGGCTAAAATTGCACAGTGTACGTCTGGCTTAAGGAAGCTCTTAAGAGTGGAGCTGGAGAACTTCTGGCCTGCTGTGGTCACAGTCTGTCACCAATTAATTACCCAGTAAAGCTTTTATTCACTTCAGCTAATGAGCTAAATGGCTCATTTAGCATAATATTATCCGCAACGCGATGTTTCGTCTGTTAAAGTCTGACATGTGCAGCTTTCCAAGATACTGTGGAGTCAGCGTAGAAGAAGACGACGTGGGGACCAGAGCTTCAAATGAGTGCTCTTTTGTTGAACATGCAGCAGGGAAGACCCACCGCCAGCGCCCACCCCAACACAACACACATGGAGGGTGGACAGCCCACACATAACACCCAACCTCAATGAATACAATCACTCCAACAACGACAGCTGCCCACCAACGTCCACACACCTCAACTATTTACACTTTAAAGTCTTTCGCTTACAGTGACCACAGCCTTCAGCCCAAACTGGTCCCAACAGATACAGAAACTCCTCCTATCTTATAAAAAACCTATACACTGACCAGCCATGTGAACGACACTGACGTGGTGGTGGTGTATCAGTGTGTGGATCAGACACAGCAGTGCTGCTGGAGTTTTAAACACTGTGTCCACTCACTGTCCACTCTATTAGACACTCCTACCTTGTCAGTCCACCTTGTAGATGTAAAGTCAGAGACGATAGCTCATCTGCTGCTGCACAGTTTGTGTTGGTCATCCTCTAGTCCTTCATCAGTGGTCACAGGACGCTGCCCACAGGACGCTGTTGGCTGGATGTTTTTGGTTGGTGGACTATTCTCAGTCCAGCAGTGACACTGAGGTGTTTAAAAACTCCAGCAGCACTGCTGTGTCTGATCCACTCAGACCAGCGCAACACACACTAACACACCACCACCACGTCAGTGTTACTGCAGTGCTGAGCATGATCCACCACCCAGATAGTACCTGCTCTGTGAGGGTCCATGGGGGTCCTGACCACTGAAGAATAGGATAACAAAGTATGCAGAGAAACAGATGGACTACAGTCTGTAACTGTAGAACTATGGAGTGAAACTATACGGTCAGTGGAGCTGATAAAATGGTCAGAGTGTAGAAACAAGTGTAGAGTGTAGAAAATTTTTCTATATTATATTCAGATTTCTGTTGCTAGACTAACACATAAAGCTCTACATGGCCCAGCACTGAACTATTCAGCTGTACTCTCAGGTCTTCTGGTACTGAACTCAGAAACCCCTCTCTTCCTCTCTTGTAGCTCCACCTTGCTGGTGTACATTTAGAAACTGTAGCCCTGTTGATACGACTGACCTCTAGCCCTTCATCAGTGGTCAGTTTGTAACCACAGAGCCTGTCTGGATATTTTTAGGTGGTGGTCCACTCTCAACTTAGCAGTGATACTGGTGTGTGTGAACCATCTGTAACTGTACACTGACGCAGAAGAGCTATAAGGTAGATGTGTCAAGCATTTAAACCCGACACTTAAATGCGTTTTACATGTTGAAGAGGAGATCAGAAGTTAAAAGCCTGTAATTCAAAGTGGAACTAAATAAGATGTGTTATTTATTTATTTATTTATTAAACATGTGGGTTTTGATAGTAAATAAAATGTTAAAATGTCTATATTTGTGTTGTAGTCATGGAGACCCCTGGTTCCTATCACCACCACTGTAAAGACATCTGAGCCATTTCACACCAAACCACTCTGAATCACTCTGTTTACATCTCACACACTGAATTATGCTGAAAATGTTGGGAAAAAATGTATATACATATATATGCAAATTGGTAGAATTCCCCTTCAGCAGGGAAGATGAGTCGGCCTTACAGAGGTTTCTATACGCTTCACCTGATATGGGTAAAGATACTTTTAGAAGAGAACCTGCACTTTGGGCGCTGGGCTATTTTCAACCCAAAACTGTACCCAGACACAAAAACAAAGAATAACCAGTTGTCCGACGCCATCAGAGTCTGCATGAACATTCTGGGTCAAGAATATTGATGTTTCTCTGTCTGGATAAAGAGCAGAGAAAAACAATGAGCTTGGTCAGCCAAAGCAACGTCTTCCTTTATAGCGTCTCTGGTCCAGCGGTCGCAACCCAAATGTTAACAAGAGCCATTTTGTCCTTTCAACAAAAATCAAACCATTTTGGGAGCCTCAACACTTTATGTCCATTTTACCATCTTGGCTGTAAATATGTCTCAGTATGTGTTGATGTGCTAGTATAGGATAAAAAAATACAATATAAACAAAAACACAGACTTACTTTGCTCTGCTTTAAGCTTTAACTCAGCTATAGCCGCTTTTCTCGCATCTCCAGCAGGAAACTTTTCCGCAAAAGTGGAGCAGTTTCTTGTAAAATGCTCTTACGAGGCTAAAGTCAGTTTCTCGTTCGCCAGCTTCTTGTTTGAATTTTCACGTTCCAAATTAAATGGTGCCTGAGGCGCCAGAATAGAACTGCAGCGCCATTTAAGGTGGAACGGGAAAATTCAAAAAAGAAGCTGGTGAACAAAAAACTGACTTCAGCTTTGTGACTTTTTAGTGTTTGTCAGTTTCTCGTTGCAGATTAAACGTATCAGGAAACCAGCTGGAGTGATTATAAATGTAAATAAGTCGATTCGTCTCCAAATTATCAATGTTCGTCTTAAATCTCTCTCTTTGCCGTTTCGTTAGCTACTAGCTAGGTGAGATTGTTGTCTGTGTTGCTATGGTGACCAGCAGTCTGCGCTGATCTTCAGGGTTAAAGGGTGAATTAGCAGTTCTACATTAACTCCAGAGTTTAAGACCATTTATTGTTAAACTGTGTTGAACGATCAGCAGAGCTTTATTTTACTGTAAAGGAGGATTATTTTATTTTTACCTACTAATCTAATTCAGCTGTGGAGCCACAACAGGGCAGTAAAAGAGCCCCATGTTGGCGACCCCTGCTCAGGTCAAAGGCCGTGTCCAAGCAACATAACATTATCTAGGCTAGTGAGGTAGAGCAGCACGACTGGACGTTTCTGAACCAGGCTAATCTGCCAACATCTACGACAAAGAATATTAACTAGCTGGAAATGTGTCACTTACAGTAGCTGTGTTACCAAGAGAAATAACAGGTAGTTAGATGGCTAGCTCATTATTTGCTAGAACAACAAAGCTTTTAAGCAGCATTAGCAAGCTAGCTAAGATCACCTGATAAAAACATGGTAGCTACATAAGTCTAAAATAGAATTTCAGTGTTTTTACAAAGAACTGGCAGAGAAAGAATGATGTTGAGAGATTCTGAAATGCCTTTTTCTTCTGTTTGATTTGAGTTAGCTGAGATCAAATTTGGTGTAGGTGTTGCTAAAGTGAGTTAGCAGCATGTATACATCAGCTATCCCAGTTATTTAAGCATTTTTAAACATCTTAAGGGTGCTTGTTATGAAGGTTTATATCACCGTTGTTTGTAGAGTAATAAGCGATTAACTTCATTTATTAAGCAAGATAGACAGCAGTCCACCTTAACTGCAGGTTTAAAATAGGATACATTAGCTTAGGGCTATGTTAGCTGCCCCCCACCCAGCATCAAGGCTCACAGTGTTTCCCTGCAATTGTACTTTTCAGGCCTGCCGCATAATGAGTGCATTTACACGCACTTAATAATCCGATAACTGCAGAAAATCAGACTGTGTCAGTAATACAATCAACAAGCTTACATGTACTTGAGTAATCAGATAATGGGGAAACTCCAGGTCTACATGAGTCAGACAGTAATCAGATGCTGCTCGCTTATTTCCGGTACCGCCGTCTGTTTTCGCACAGGCTCAGACTGAGAAATCCGAAAGAAATCAGAGTAAGAGTTCACATGCACTGAGAAATCTGATTACTGGGCTGAAATCCAGCCTCTTTATCAGATTTATTAATCAGATTTCTAGACCTGACTCTGATTTAAGAAATCGGAGTGTGCTGTTTGCATGACTAATATTTGCATGCTATGTGTGCTGTTTGCATGAATAATCAGATAACTGCAGAAATCTGATTATCCTCAGACTATGGAGAGCATGTAAACGCACACAAAAAAATTTCTCCTCAGTGTCCAAACATGACTCCTAATGGGAGCTTGTGTGACCTCAGCTTCAGTCAGCTGCCCTGCTGAAGAAACCAGCCCATGCTGCAGCCAATCTATGCTGGTTTATGCTGGTCTGGTGCTGGTTTAGCTGGTCACCCCAGCATGGTCATGCTTGTTGGCCAGCATACCAGCATCAAAACACAACATATGTTGGTTTTTACTGATGGCCATGCTGGTATATCCTGTTTTTTCTAGCAGGGTAACCAGCTACAGGTTACATACTTAATATTTGTGATAAACACTCAAATACTGGACACAGAGTCCATGTTTTGCATGTGTAACTCACTACTCAGGTCAGTGAGAGCTGAGATAAGTGGTCTATTTTCCTGCAGTGGGGCTCAAACAGGTAGTGCTGAACACACTGATTAGCAGGGTCACTCTACTAGTGTCAGGTTGGTTATGTTTAACACGCCCACATATGTCTGACCAGGCAGCAGTTCGGACTTTTTGAGAGATTTATCCACTATAAAATTACAATAATTTATATATATTTCTTGAATATTACACTAATAAATGCATATTTAGTGGCATATCTTCTGTTTAACGATTTGAACATTTAAGACCATGTTCACAGGGGCTTTAATTGTAGCACCACCCCTAAATGTTTTTATAGATTAGCTTCTGAACAACATGAAAACCGTGAACGTTGATCACGGGTGCCTTTTTATATGATCAGAAAAATGCGTCTTTGTTGAGTTTCCCTAAAACTGGTTGGCGCTGCTCTTTAAGAATAGATTAAATAAACCCAGCTTAACTCACAGCTTGACGATGAAAGGATGGTTGACCTCCATGAGCACCTCCTTCTCATTGTGAACGTGCTGCTGCTGCTTCAGCCGGATCAGGTCCACTATTCTCATCGACTTCAACGCAAAGTAGCCCTTGGTCCTCCTGTCCTGGACTAGCACCACTCGGCCAAACGTCCCCGTGCCTGCAGAGGAAAGAGGCCACCACCGCACCTCTTCAAGCAGCAATACTGATTTCGTTCTTGTCATGTATCCCACTTTATATCAAGTGTCTAATAACTGTGTGGTCACCTGAACAACATATGCAACAACAATGTAACTACTAATGATTTACTCGCTGTTACAGATGTATTACAGAAGTACACCTCATGTAATTACACGAGTGTACCTTAAGAGTTGTAACAGCGTATTCTCTCACAAGGGTAATAACACAAATGTAATTACATGTGTAATCAGACTAGAACAGCAGTTTTTTTCAGAAGTGTTTCCCAGCAGTAAAAGCAGCACTGCTGTGTCTGATCTACTCAGACCAGCACAACACACACTAACACACCACCACCACGTCAGTGTTACTGCAGTGCTGAGAATGATCCACCACCCAAATAGTACCTGCTCTGTGGGGGTCCATGGGGGTCCTGACCACTGAAGAACAGGGTAAAAGGGGGCTAACAAAGTATGCAGAGAAACAGATGGACTACAGTCTGTAACTGTAGAACTACAAAGTGCACCTATATAGTAAGTGGAGCTGATAAAATGGACAATGAGCGTAGAAACAAGGAGGTCATAATGTTATGGCTGATGGGTGTATATATACACATTTATTTCTCACTCGTTAACTAAAACATTTTTTTACAGTTTTCCAGCTTAATTCAACACATCAGTGCAAATATTTTTCTTGATCGTTGTTGTATTTTGTGCTACGCAAGCAATCAAGCCAACACTTGCGCAGCTGGATGCTGCAATTGAGCGCCTCTTCAATCTATAAAGTTAATTTGCAAGCAAATAGGGAATTCACCTTAGATTCCCTGTGTCATCATAATGCCAAACGGATCTTTTCTTTAGCCTGGTGTTGGTCCTAATTCCTTTGCAGCAGTGGGCAGAGCGAGTCTGCTGCTGAAAATGTGGTGTATATACATTTCGAGTCAGCAGTGCTGGTACTTCATAGAAATGGGTCACACTATGAGGCTCCACCTGCAGCCTGCACCTCAGTTGCAACCACAGCAATTTCTGGATTAACACCTGCAAGCTTGAATCAATGCTTCCAGTGTGCATCTGGGTCCACGGACGCTGCAGGCGCGCATGCAGCATGATGTATATCCTTTCAGAGCATGCACACCAGCCTGTCACTATGATTCTGACCTCTACTGCAGCTGCACACTTTAGGCAAAATTGTCTTTTCGGAGCATGCACGTGACTGCGACTCTGACTCTGATTGATGCTGAAATAGCACACTTTAAGCAGAATGTATATCATGTTTGAAATCTTGTTCAGGAATAAAGCAACTACAGTCAAGATATAAGATAAAGATCCACATGCATCTCTGTTTATGACCTGGGCTGCAACTGCATTTCAGAGCACGCTCCTCCCTGCATCTGTGGTTCTAATCATTAGAGCAATTGCACAGTTTAAGCAACATGCTTATAATTTCAGAACATGCACCAGCCAGCCTGCAACACTAATTCTAAGCAATAGTGCAAATCCTTAAGCATGTTGCATATTATGTTTGAAGTCATGCAGGACTGCACTGATTCTTATTGATAAGCAACTGCAATCAAGATCAAATTAAGATCCATATTCAAGAGCATGCACGTTTCTTCACGTTGGTTGTAAACATTAGTGCAATTGCACAGTTTAAGCGACATGCATAGAATTTCAAGGCATGCACCAGCCAGCCTGCAACTCTAATTCTGAGCAATAGTGCAAATGCAAATCCTTAAGCGTGTTGCATGTTATATTTGACGTCATGCACTGTTTCTGGTCAATAAAGCAACTGCAATCAAGATAAAAATTAAGATCCATATTCAAGAGCATGCATTTCTGTTTGTGACCCGTGTTGTAACTGCATTTCAAAGCATGCACGCTCCTCCCTGCATCTTTGGTTCTAATCATTAGAGTAACTGCAGTTTAAGCAACATGCTTATAATTTCAGCACATGCACCAGCCAGCCTGCAACATTAATTCTATGCAATAGTGCAAATGCAAATTCTTAAGCACGACTGCACTGATTCAATAAGTAACTGCAATCAAGATAAAATTAAGATCCATATTCAAGAGCATGCATGTGCATGCATTTCTGTTTGTGACCCGTGCTGCAACTGCATTTCAGAGCATGCACGCTCCAACTGCTGCAACTGCACACTGTAATCAAGAGGCTTGTCCGTTTCAGAGCATGCACAAGCCAGCCTGCAACTCTAGTTCTGAGCGAAAGTGCAAATGCAAACGTCAGGCAAGATGCATTAAGCAGGAATGCATATCCTATTTCAGAGCTCTGGTTCTGACCACTGCTGCAATGGGAAACATCAACCAAGACGCATATCCATTTCAGGCCCGCTGTGCTTCTGATCAATACTGCGATTGCAAACGTTAAGCAAGATGCATCATTTCAGAGCATGCACGTGCCTGCAGTCCTGATTATACTCGGACATCAAAGACCATACAGGCTGGACGCATTAACGTTAATGCACATCATATTTCAGAGCGTGCACGCGTCAGCAACACCGATTCTGCTCAATGCTGCAACTGCAAACTTTAAGCAAGATGCATATTCCCCTCAGGGCGCGCGCGCGCGCGAACCAGGCTGCAATTATTATTCCGATGAATGCTGCGATTGCAAACATCGAGCGCGACGCATTAGGCGAGATGCCTTGTCCTGGAGCACGCACGTGCGTGCCACTCTGAGTGTGCGAGCGTAAACTTGCATTTGTATGATTGTGCACGCACCCACGGTGGCGACGGAGTCCAGGATGCCCGGGGAGAAGTCCGTGCAGCCGGGCTGGGGCTGCATGCATGGCGCGCCGGCCGGCGAGCGCGCGCCCCTCCTCGTGCTGCCTCCGTCCCGGGACGCTTCTCCTCCTCCTCCGCTGCCTCCTCCTCCACTCCCTCCTCCTGCTGCCGCTGCTGCCGCTCCTGCCGCTCCTGCCGCTGCCGTGCCTCGCGCGGGCGACGTTTTGGCTGCCGTCATCCTCTAATTCCGCTCACCTCGCGTGCACTGCACCTCATTTTAGGTCTTCCGCGCCGGGCATTCTTCGCGCACGAGCTCCCGGAAGAAAAAAAAAGAAAGAAAGAAACGAGTCCGCTGGACAAAAGGGAAAGGGGAGGGGGAGGGGGAGGAGTAGGGGGTGTTCAGCAGCCCATCAGGACACCGATGCACGCGTGGCTTAGGCTACGCTTTAAGCACTGCGGACATAGCACCTCTAACGACATGGCTCGTGCTTAGTGATAGGCGTCGTCTGCGCGCTCCTCTCGTTGGACCGGTCTGGATTCGGGACCTCTGGGATGGGAGCACGGGAGGAGTCTGGTGCACTGCACGGGAGGAGTCAGAGGCATTGAGGAGGACGAGACTGAGTCTGTTGTTTTGCACGAGAGGAGTCTATTGCACTGCACAGGATGAGACTATTTCACTGAGCATGACTCTGTCGCGTTGCACATGAGTTAATTGCACTGCACAGGAGTCTGTTACATTCCAAAGGACAAGACTGTGGCACTGCATGAGTAGAGTCTATTGCATTGCATGGAACTCGCTTTGTGCATGAGTTTATTTCACTGAAAAAGATTCTGTTGCATTGCACAGGACTAGTCTGTGGCACTGCATGAGCGGAGTCTGTTGCATTTTACAAAAGTCTGTTGCACTGTACAGGATGAGACTATTGCATTGAGCATGAGTCTGTTGCATTGCATTTTTGCCAGTTGCATTGCACATGCATTTATTGCACTGTACAAGAGTCTGTTACATTGCGCAAGGCAAAACTATTTCATTGAAAAGGACTGCACAAAGACAGATATATGGCACTGCATAAGTGGAGTCTGTTGCATTTTACAAGGGAAGTCTACTGCACTGCACAGGATGACATTCATTTATTGACCATAAGTCTATTGCATTGCATGTTTTTCTGTTTACTGCACTGTACTGGAGGCTGCTACATTGCAAAGGGAAAAACTAGTTCATTGCAAAGGACTGCACAAGAAAGACAAGTCTATGGCACTGCATAGGATAAGACTACTGCATTGAGCACAAATCTGTTGCATTGCACAAGAGGAGTCTATTGCATTGCATGGGAGTCTACTGCACTGCATTTTTGTCAGTTGCATTGCACATGAATTTATCGCACTGTACAGGGGTTTTATTGCACAAGGCGAAACTATTTCATTAAAAAGGACTGCACACGAAATACAAGTCTATGGCATTGCATAAGTGGAGTCTGTTGCATTTTACGAAAGTCTGTTGCACTGTACAGGATGAGGCTATTGCATTGAGCACGTGTCTGTTGCATTGCATGGGAATCACTTCCATTGCACATGAATTTGAGTCTGTTACATTGCACAGGATAAAACTATTTAATTGAAAAGGACTGAATATGGTCTATTGCATTATACAAGGAGTCTATTGCATTGCAGAAAATGAGAGCACTTCAATGAACAAGAGCCGTTTAAATTGAACAAGAGGGGTTTATTGCATTTGATTGGAGTCTGTTGCATTGCACTGTAGACATTAATTAATTGCATCGCACAGGAAACATTGGTTGCATGGGAGTCTGTTTTATTATATAAGAGGAGTGTATTGCATCGCATGAGACTATGGGAGTTTTACTGCATTGCACAAGAGTCTATTGACTCACATGTGCGTCTGCTACATTACAGCGTCCTGCATTTTGCAGGAAAAGTTTATTTCATAGGAGTCTATTGAATTAAATTGGGCTGTGCTGCACTGCACAGAGGAAGTCTGTTCAACTTAGCTAGCGAGCGCAGGCTCTCATGCATTAACTGATGCCCCATTCACCTGCAAAAGCAGGAAGGAGACTTTCTAATTGCTTGACTGAGGCAACCAAGTTGACTCAGCAAAATTGCAATTGACACAATACCATTTACTTTGTTCCTTGAGTGATGTAATTGGCCTGTTTTGCACTTTAAAAGCCACTGGAGTGCACATTTGACTTCCTTTTAACAAAACTTAGGGTAGACTACAATAACGTCACAGCACAGGCCTGTAAGGGACGCCTATTGTGAGCCAGGCCGGCTTGGTCCAGCCTCAGGACCGCGGAGCATGCATGGTTTGCTATAGACTTTTAGTCTGCTGAAGCATTACTAATGGCCCATGCCGAGAGAGCCCCCTCATCTTTTATTCTCTAAAACCCGCCGCAGCTGACTTCCGGAAGTCCAGCGTCAGCTAAATATTTCAAATCGCTGTTTAACCCGGCATATGCCAGAGTTTATCCATACAGCAGTTACTGAAATTCCTGAATGATGCATGAGCTTCGCATCCTCATTTACGGCTCATAAATAAATCAATGTGTGGAATCGTTTTCTGTTTGGGCTTTTTGACATGAATATTCCTTTTATTTATTAAAAATGTGATGCAAAGTTCTTAAGGATGAAAGTTTGTATTGCTATGATAAATCTGGATGGACTGTTGATTGTAGTTCCTTTGGAAGCTGCAGCCTTAAATGGGCAGTTAGGAAGGTCACTGTGATGGGCTTAGCGGATATTGGATTTACTGCCCGCTGCCTTTTGTCCAAGCTCTAAATAATTTATCTGATTTAACGTCCACTCCAGCCTTGAAATAAGTTATAATTATGGGCGATTAATATTTAAAATGGTCACGTCAATAAGCAGCCTGCCCTAAAGCGAAAATCAAATTTATCTAATTTCCTCTTTACCTCACGTTACCACTCAGCTAGGGCACTGTGTGACATACTGCCGGTGGAAAGGGTGCTAATTCCTACTTAAGTAAGAGTACTGTTACCGTAATGATGATTTACTTGAGTACAGGTAAAAGTATTGGTCACACTTTATTTGGATGGTCCCCTATAGATGATTTACAGATATTGTTAACAAACTTTCTGGTGATACTCAACGACATTAAGGTTAGGGTTAGGTTTAATAGAATCTTTCACACACAACATCAAGTTCAGTTGTATTTTGTGGATATTTAGTCGAATGTTAGTTAACAGTATACTGAGCATCTACAAAACATCTACAGTGTTAATCTAAATAAAGTGTTACCAAAGTATTAATAAAGGAAATTACTCAAGTCAGAGTGAAGAAGTAGTTTTGGAAGTATTGGAAAACTACTCAAGTAATTGAGTTACTTTTTTTAAAATATTACACAAGAAAAGGTTTTGAGTTCTGATCACAGTATGGCCTGCTGGTACACATGTATCCGTCTTACGCAGGTTCTGGGGAACCTGTATTAGACTAGATTTCTCATATTACAAATCTATTACAAATATATTACAAATACACCCGAAAACGGCGTCAGAACAGGTAAACGAGTAAACCGAAGTAGCTGGCTAACAGGCACTTGCAATTAAACATACACAAGAGATTTTAAGTTTAATTAATAGCTACTATTTTATCATACAAAACATATTGAGAAGAAAATAGTAAAAGGACACAGTATCTTTAGCCAGTCAGCTAAAGGGAGCTGCTCTGTTTTGATTGGCCTTCAGAATCTTTTGCATTTAACCGGCTTTTTTCTAACTGGTTTATGAGCTGAAATACAGACTTATTTTTACTCTACAACTGTTTGAAATGAAAGTAGTAAAGTAAAAGTACTCAGAAATAACTCAAGTAAAAGTACTATGATTGAATTCTATTAAAAAAATACCATTATAGGAAAAAACGGACAGAGTTAATGTAATTCATTACTTTCCACCTCTGAGTACTGCAAAAAAGTAGACATCACTGAGTTGACCTAGCTAAAAACACCAGTGTCCATCATGATGCCCAGATTTTGTCCGTATTTAGCTCATGTTTATAGCAGAGGGGACCCTCAGGGCATTCTAGGTATTTAAAAAAGACAATGATTTCTGAGAACTAAAAAATAAATGTCTGTATTTTTTTGTTAATTTTTATTCAGTGGAATTATGCTTGTATTTACATTACATTACAGTACTACTCTTGTTTCATTACTAAGTTCTGCTTGGAAACAAAACAGTTCACCCCTTAAGTGGCCATTTAGCTCAACCAGTTTGCACTGAAGTCCTTATAGTTACTGAATGATAAGTCTGGGATTTTAAGAGGTTAAATTCTTCAAATGCCAAAACAGAAAACTATCCAATCAGAAATTGTTTTTCTCTGTGAAATCTCAGTACATAAACTAGCCAATGGGAGTGCTAAGCGAGCTCTTCCATTGGTTAGAACTTCAGGAACTGAAGAGAAGACCTAACGTGTCAGATCAATGCTGAGTTCAACTGAAGCTGAATTTCCTTTTATTTGGAATAATCTAAGAAAACGTCAGCTGAGAGTTCCTGCTTGAAAGGTCGGGATGGTGTTCTCAACTCCGAGCTCAGCGTATGGGATCAAATCAACATGGCGGCTCATTCGGTCACTAGTAATAGAGAAGCACTGCTCTACTTCAGAATGAGATTTGCTTTAGTCAACATACAGACAGAGTAGTCGTTTACATCTGTAACACTGACCATGATGTTTACTATTTTAAGAAGGTAAATACATCATGAACATTAAAGTTATTACTCATATCACTAACATTAGCTGGCTAGCTTGTTGCTAACAGCACTCGCTATCATGGAGGCCTCCATGTTTTTTCCTACTTTGTAGCTCGAATAGAGGGGGATCAAAAATGCCGCAATTCTGAGCTCTGACTCGTGACAGAGGGATCTGTCAATCACGGTATGATTTCCAATCGGTGGAACCAATTTGGTGAGAAAAATAGTCACTCTAGTCACGAATGTCTAGATATGTCAGTCAGTCGTTTACATGCTTAATAATCCGATCATAATTAGATTTCTGCAGTTATCTGATTATTCAAATGGTCATGTAAACAGCACACTGATTTCTTAGATTAAGGTCTAAAAATCTGATTAAGAAGATTAATGATAAAGAGGCTGGATTTTAGCTCAGTAATCAGATTTCTCAGTGCATGTGAACTCTTACTCTGATTTCTTTCAGATTTCTCAGTCTGTGCTTGTGCAAAACAGATGGTGGTACCAGAAATAAGCGAGCAGCGTCACCGCGAGATGCAGCAAAACACTTTTGAAACCGACTAAATGCTTGACGAAATGAAGGATTTAAATATTCTTCATCTTGTAGATGATGTATGTTC